GACAATACTCACTAAAATATAGACAATACTCACGTAATAGACAATACTCACGTAAAATAAAGTGCTTCGTACGCAAAAATTCGTGTTTTTATGCGCAAAGGCACGAAATCGGTCAGCTCGGTCGGCTGTCGGTCGGCTGGGTCGGTGGTCGGTCGGCGGTCGGCGATTTTCGACCGACCGAAATGGAAGCCTTAGCTTAGGCATATACCATGCGCAGCCGTTACCCTGTGTACTCATTTTCGAACTCAGCAAATAATAACCAATTTTATCACTGCTACAAGGAGTTCATGAAACTGATACGGTTCTTAATTTAAGCCAATAGTCCAATATGAAAAATTACCACATTGGCATTGTGACATTGCCTAACTTTCAGCTTGTCCTCTATCAACAAGGCCTTTGATTGTCCTCGAAAAGTGTTTTCCAGATCTTTGAAACTGAAAAAAAAACAACGATCCAGTAGAACCACTGGATCGTTGTTTTTTTCTATTTGTTTTTCCATTCTTTCACTCCAGAATAAAGTTTTAAATGGTTCTGACCTTTAAAATTAGCTGTAAAAAAGATATGTTTCCCTTCCCAATAACCTGACTTCCAAAACAATGATTATCACTGTTGGAAATGTATACCCCCATTTATTGTTTGTAACCTAACCTGAAAACTTTTCATTCCGGCCCTCTCTCTTTTTTTGAGTTTCTTTGTATTCTTTTTCATCACGCTAAAAATTCCTATTGTTTGATGTTTTCACACCTATTTTAATGACCCGCATGCACAGTCCTATTAAACACACTTTTTGTTTGACAAAAAAGTATATAGCATGAATTTGATAAAGAAAATGGTTAAGGCGTGCATAAGGAATTTGCTTTTGTTTGCCGAAAGAATTCAAAAAATCAGTTTTTGGAAGATAAACGTGGTGAATCATGAGACAGCTTTCGATAGTGTGCATTTTGATGTGATGATGTACAGTAGTCGGTTTTTACATATCTCGAATAATTGGGTATCCGATTTTCTCCGATTCTCTCCGTTTTTCTAATATTTTCGGGAAAGTATTCAAACTTCAATTGTCGGGATATTCCCAAGGACAATTTGTGGAGGATTTTTGAAACTTTAAAAAAAAGTTTGACAATTACAGAAGTATACAACTGTAAATTACAATTGTTTCGAATTGAAATTTCTTTC